ACTTTGAGTGTACAAAATCAGAAAACGCCCAGTTGCATTTTAAAAAATATATTTGTGCAGTTTTATATAACCTGTTTGACATTCACATTTTAAAACATTAAAGTCAAGCCACAAATACTGTGATGTACTTTGCCCAGTTTTTTAATTGTATTGACTAGTGTTAGCTATTAGTGTATTTTATACAATTTTTTAGTTTTTATTTTATATAAACCTTTACTGTACCATTTGTAATTAATAGCACTACATTTTAGTGTTTTGACAAATAATGAATATTTAGCTATATTGAAAAAATTCTAGTAAGTACTCTTTAAACTTTTTTGAAATTTAATAATTAATACACACACAAATTAATTTTTCAGATTTTAAAATGACAAAAATAAAAATAAAGTTATTGTGGAAATTTTATTTTATTTATTTTATTTTTACTTCCTCTCTAATTGACGCACAACCTGCAACATGTAAACGTTCTGGAAATTTTTTAGATCAGACTGCAACTAAACGCCGCAAAAATTTTAACCTTAATAATTTACAAAACCCTTTCGGATTACAAACATGTGAAAATTCTAAAAATTATTATCTGCTTCAAAAACTGGCCCGAGTAGACTTTTCAATTGAGCCAGTTTACGGATATCACAAAGAAACGGCGGAAAATATCTTTGACAATATGCAATGCAAAATAACAAGTTTTTTAAATAACAAAGAAATTTATAAATCTTTAGCAACAGCAAATAACCTTAATTTTTTTTATTCTAAAACCAAAAGACAAATTTTACATAAATCAATTCATGATATTTTTGCACATAATGATAAAAATAACGATCTTCATGTTAATTATTACAGAAGTTATTCTAATATTCGTTCTTGTAAAAGTTATTTTATTTTTACTGTTACACCAGAAGTTGAAAAAATAATTAATAATTTAAAAAAACTTGAATGGACTGAAAATTTTAAAAATGTTCTTTCAGAATATGAATATCAAGTTTTAATATCAAACTTGGTATATGTTGGTTCTGGTAGATCATTTAGACCATTCGAACACATCATTCAAACGAATTATCTTTTAAGCGGTCAATATGCTACTGGTACCCAACCAATTCACACGTATCTGGCTAGAGGAGTGCTTGAAAACATTTTCAAAAAAATTTTAATCGTTTCTTTTTTTGGGTCAAACAATTACCCAGCTTGTCTCTACAGTGAGCAAGCAACGGCTTGGGTTCTGAGAAAACACTTAATTAATTCATTAAATTTTGTCGAACTTGGCAGACTGAGACACAAACTTTGTGTTGAGCCTAGTAACCCCGAAATCTACTTGAAAAATTGTTTTTCGAAACAGGCGATGCAGTTTGTGGCGGACTACAACGTTGAAGCTGCAATTCGCCAAATTGGAAAATTTGGAATCGTTTTGTCTCTTTCAAATCCAAATGAAAATGGTGTTTGGAAAGACCAGATCAGTTTCAAGTCTCAGCCTTACATACATTCTGCTTTTAGTATAACGGCGGATTCAACTTTGTTTTACAGATTTGGAACTCCTTTCTATGACGAAACAAATATAATTTTTCAAGCAAAAATTCCAGAATTAAATATAGAAATTGGTGAAGAAAAATGGTTTCAAACTAATTATTTTAGAATGTTGCCATTTCAAAAAGTTGATTTTATTTTTAAAGAAGATGATTGGATTGAAAGAGTTCGGCTCGCAAACGAAATTGAAAATAAATTGGTAAGCACAATTATATAAGCTTTATTTAAAATTTGTAGTCCGCAAGTCTATTTTATGTGACTGGTGCCGGTGAGGGACATGTACACTGACAAACAGCTAGTTTAAGTTTTTAATGGTTATTTCTTTTTGTTACAAAGTGAAGCAAAAGAAAGAGAAACAATAGCAATAAACAGTAATGAAAATAAGTAAGTGAAGTGCAATGAGTGCTGTTCTGGTGTGCAGTCTGTTGAAAATGTTAAGTTTACAGGTGTCAGTGCTTAAGTAGTTGACGACTGAATCAGTAGAGAGCAATCCAAAAAGTTGATGGACTTTGTAGTTGATGAGAGAAGAATAAATAGTGATGAACAAAAAGTGTTGCTAGATGGTGTCACATTTGTGCAAAATGCTATTTTACTGTCCTGTCTGACGATGGTTGATGCGGCCAGGAAGTTGGCAGTAAACAAATGTGAGTGCTATTAAAAGTGTCCAATGTATTTGTTTGTAGTTGATAAAGTTTAATTAGTTTAAGATTTTTAAAGCTGCATTTCTGTTTGCTAGAGTTGCAAGATATGAACTTATTAATCGGTTACATTGAACAACTCGGTGCCTGCGGTCAGATTTACATACAGAATCAGATAAAGCATGTAAAGACTGAAACCCCAGCTACTACAAATTCTTTTTTATTTTTAAATACAGAAATCAACGTTATCTGTTTATCCTTCTCTTCTAGAAGCATCATTTCAAGGTAAATATCATTAAAAAATTTTTAAATAAAATTAATATTTTTAATTTATTATGTTTTAGAACTTGAAATAACTTTAACTTATCTCAAAGCTGAAAAATTAAATGAGAGTTCTATTTTAACTGAAACAATCAACAAAAATTATGCTTTTAGATTGTCTTCCTTATTATTGGCAGTACACGCTCAATTAATTGCTGCAAAAAATCAAATAAGTTTAATTGAATGTAATTTTTTTGAAGCACAATTAATAGCAATGTTTCATTCTTCTTTTGAACACTTGCTTTTTACTAAATTAATTGTTGACAACCCAGATGTAATGTACACTGGAGATCAGTCGTTTGAATCTTTAGGGTCTAAACTTGAACTGAATATCCCAGAAAAATTTATAAATCAAAATTACCAAAAAGAGTCACATCGAGTAAGATTATGTTTTTTTCAAACAAAATTTTAACATTTAATTTTTATTTGAAGCCAAAGATAAAACCTACTGGTACAAACAAATGTAAGTTTTTACAAATTTAACTTTTTATTCTTAATTTTTAACGATGTTTAATTTTAGTTGAATGTAAATACTGTGGCAGAATTTCTTCATCAAAGCAAAGTTTTGACAAGCATCGTGAAGCGGTAGAAGGTGCCGAGGTTTATTCGTGCCCAGTTTGCAGGACAAAATATACATCTTACAAATATATCCGGAACCATGAAAATTCAATAAATCATCGACTTTTATCACTCGGTCAATTTGTTCCGCATCATCCTGAAATGACAAGTGATCGATTAGTTGCACAATACAAATGCCCTTTTCATGAAAACGCAGATCCACAATATTTTGTGTTAAAAGAAAACTGTGTCGAACACATGAAAGGACATAAAAATGACAAAGTTGACAACCCAATCGATCGTTTAAACGGGAAAAGTTGTAAAAAATTAGGAGTTTATACTTGCAAATACTGTAAATTTAAAACAGATTCTGAAGAGTATGCAAAATTTCATCTCAAAGGAGTGCACGCGGACCATTTGGTCAAACCTGCTGAAACTGTTGATAATGCTGACTATGATTGGGAAACCGATTTGAACAACCATTTTAAAATTTGTGGCAATAATGAACAGTTCAGCGGAGGGAATTATGTTTGTGGTTTGTGTGATAAAACATATACAACATCGGCTATGACAATACAGCATATGCTTGGCCCTTCTCATGTACAAGAATATAGAGATGCCACAAATGGTATTATTAAAAATGACTTATTAACAGAAGAAATTGCCGTTAAAGTAATGAAAATAATCGATTTTTATAAAACAAGAGTATCTTACAAAGCAAAGCAAGATCAAGTTGATACATCTTTTCTTAAAGATTTAGTTCTTATAAAAAATGAAAATACTAAAAACTGGTTTTGGCGCATTCCCAATAGCGACGGAGAATACAAAAATGAAAACAACAAGTGTTATCAAACCAAAGAGTCTAGTTTTGATCATATAGCAAGAGTTAATGAAAATGAGCTAGTTCATCAATTTTTAGAAAATGATGACTTATCTTCTGAATTAAAATTAAAATATATTGAATGGATACAAAACGAAACGGAAAATGATCGTTTAACAGGAATTCCAGACAGAAAAAATCGAAAACTTGTACCAAAAATGCATTTGTTTAGAAACGAAGTCGGTTGGATTTCAAGTAAAAAAAGTTTTCAAAATTTTGTAATTTATGTAAAAAAATATAAACTAACTCATTCAAAAGAAGCGCAAGAAGATAAATCAATTGTCGTTCCAGGCGATTGTCAGCAAAATCAAAATGAAAACCCAAAACCTCCAAAAAAGCCAAATAAAAAGCTAGATGAACAAACTACAGAAACGACTATTGAAATCACCGGCACAACTTCTGAAAAACCAACTTATCAAGATGTTTATGAAATTTTTAAAAAACCTAACAATGAACAATCTAACAATAAACCAGCCAAAAAACCAGCAAAAAAACCAATAAAAAAAATAACTGCACTTCAAGGTCAACAATTTATAGATTCATGGCTCTTGCCAACATCAACTTCAGTAAAACCAACAAACGATTAACATTTTTGTTCTTTGTAATTACAATAAAATTATTTTTAATTTGTTTTTAAACAGTTATTAGACGTTTGTTTAAACCAGTTGTGAAATTGATTGTGAATCTAGTTACCAGAAAATGGCCACAAAATTTGCGCAGCCTCTCAGTATCATTAGAAAAATTAGCAGTCACCAAGTGTTGAGTGTGCGAATTAAAATGTTCAAATCATGATTTATTAACCAAGTAAATGTTGTGAGCTAGTGCAGTTAATTTATTCAAGTCAATTTTTGCAATGCTAGTTTAACTGAAATCTTTAGTTTTAAATTTTTTTATATAAAAAACTTTTTAAAGCGTGTATAGTAAACAGCACAATTTAATAAAAATGAAGTTTAGAAGTTACTAAAACTGCAAACCGATTTGCCAATACAAAATTATAAAAACAGTTGAACGTGAAATGCAGGGAAACGAACTTTTAAAATGTTTTGCTTTATAAGCTTCCACTGCACAGGATCTCTCAGGAAGCAGCTCTGCTAGCTCAATCGGCAGAGCGTCAGACTCTTAATCTGAAGGTTGCCAGTTCGATGCTGGCGCAGAGCTATTTTTTATGTTAAATTCCGATGTTTTTTTGCTTTGGCTGCTTCTTAAAACACACAGGAGTCATTTGGACGAAAACTAGAAGCCGATATCTCTTTTAGTTCACGAGATATTGACGATTGAAGTTGAGACTAACTTTTTACATTCACTGTACTGCGGGGAAACATACTAAAGTACTTTGTAACAGGAAACACCTACTTTTTAAAATCCTAAACCAAAGAGGAACATCCACTGAACATTTAGGCGAAAACAGAATCCAGATATCTTAAGTAATTCCCGAGATACGCCTTTCCAAACTCATCGGTTAATTTTTATTCCTTAACAAAAACCCGAATGCCCATACCCCAACACACACAGCAGTGCTTGCCGATGTCTGTGAATGGGGAGGGGAAGCCCCCCACGCCGTTTGTTGACGTGCCGATTTGGAGTGTGTGTTTGTGTGCGCTTCAACACACACACTTGACGCAACACAGCGAGAGACGGTTTGCAAGACGAAAAAGTAACCGGAAACAAACTGATCAAGAACTGGTCAACTGAACAGCAGCATCAAGCGAACATGGACTACAATCGTCAAGGTAAGTTGGGATTTGAAGATTTTACTTTAAAGTCTCAACTTGTGTCTTTTCAGGTGGTGGTGGTCCATCACGACGGCACCCAGCTGCATCGGCTGC